TGCTAACAAGTGAACAAAATGAATCCCTCCAACCTGGAACTGCTTCACCTGCATCGAGAATTTATCAAATCTTTAGTGGAGGTAAGATCTGTTCCTTATTATGGTATGCAGAATAAGCAACATTTAACAAAAAAAATCGGAGAAAAAAGGGAAGAGATCAGATTCAACTTACATTAAGCGCTAGTATCTTGTTATATTTGAGACCAGGAAATATTCCAATGCTATTTCCCCCTCCCCGTTAAAAACACAATGGTAGAAAAATGTTATTTTGTATGAAAGTCTTGTAGAATATTAAGAACCTGTTTTGTTCGTACAACATAAAGACAGTACAGTTTAAGCTAATACAGTACTGGGGAAAGAAATCACATAATGCAATCGGGAATATTTTTTTTCCTCCCTCGGCAGTCTTTCCAAATATTGGCAGTTAAATACGTTACAGATTTATTCAGTTACTCTTTGCAGGATCAGATAGTCTGTAATTAGTGTATACTTATTGCTTTCTGAAGGTTGGCTAATATGACTAATCTCTGATTGCTCAAGAAATCCCCCTTTTTTGTTGTTTTTTTTTTTAAACTTATTTCTTTCATTAATCTGTACATTCAAGCTGTTTATTAAAAACACAGATTTGCTAAACATTTATTTCAAGAAAGGAAATACAACAGGGTACAAATTAAACAAAACCATATTTCCTATAAAGCTCATTGATTCTGCTCAATTTCTTATCAGAAGACAAGAGAGTTGCATGTATAAACTACCTGCTCACAAGAGCTCTAAAACTACATTTTCTAGCTCTAGTCACAGACGCTCTACATCCAACAGTTATTGCTTCTAGTCGGGGTTTTTTTGTAACCTGCACTATTTGGAGAACAGGAAACTTGTTCAAAAAACTAAATTCATGTAAATTGACAGAAGAATGACACAGTTTTACTAGCAAATAGTGAGCACACTAACTGATTTTCTAGGTAATCTATAAGATCCTTTTTAGAGATCTTTTATTCATGAAATAAGTGATATTAGAAAATATATTCTTGCATTATTTTATTTGGAAATTATAAGCCCTACTTTTAACCTTTTTTTTCCTCCCCTTCACAAGGGCATGCAGCAACTAAATCAGTTTTACAACTGACAATATGAAGAATGCAGTTGACCGGGTATCTTTCTAGCTGTATGACCTACAAGCAGCAGGATGCATCACTAAAATGTATTCTTAAGACATAAAGGAATTAGAAACAAAACATGGAACACACTTGTATTACCATTTACGTGCACGACACTTCAACAATATACATGGAAGACTAACACATCTGCTCAGATTTTATTAAAAGAAGAGTGCAATGATTGATTCTTAAAATGGTGAGCATTTCTTAAAGAGGGATTTATAATTTAAAACCAGAATTGTGGAAACTACTGATGCATGAAGAAACAATGAAACATGAATTCCCAAAAGGAGAATATGCATACTTCACCAGCAAGCTGAATAAGGGTTTAACCAAGCTTTTTCTATACTACTCATTAAATAACTTATTTGTCATAATGACTAATGGATATTTTTCTCTCAATTTTATGGTCTGTTATGTATTCTCCTTAAATGAAAATAAACCAAATTAGGTAACTCATGGTTACTCTCAAAGCACATGAACTGGATTTTATGATGTATAGCAACTTCTTTGACTAAGCCATCACTCAAAAGTAATGAGCAGGAATATTACAGAAAGAAATACGCAACCGTAAACTAAAGGATGTCTACATACACTCTGAACACAGAGATCAGAAATTATTTTTTTTTAAACCTGGAAAATAAAGACAGGCTGCTACAAAATGCAACAGGGGAAAGAAATTAACATCACTTAAAAGAAGGTTTATTTGTTATTGCTGGCTTGAAACTCAGAACAGACACACAGAATATGCACTGGTCTGTAGAAGTATCTCATGCAATTAAGAAGTCCCCATGTTTAATCAGAATTTTTTGCTGCTGAAGCGCTGGAACAAAAAAAAGAAAAAAAAACCTGCAAGGAATGAAATAAGAGCCCAGCTACCACTTGGTTTCCAGGTTACAGTGCATGTCAAATATCTGTCAGTGACACCATGTATCAATTTCTGACAAGCTGCTGCAATGATCTGAAAGGCCCTTGAGGCACAGAGAACAGGTAGGTCAGCAGTCGCATGCACCCCACCTCTGCTCAGCATTTGCAAGGGAACAGGCACTGTCCAGAGAGGCGATGCACCGGGTACGTTAGCTCCCTGCCTTGACATTGCTGCTTTTATTTAACTGAAATCTAATCCCTGCAACAAGGAGGTGATGTTTATGCTATTCATAAGACTTCTCACATCTGAAGTTTTCTGTTTTGACAGAATTTCAGTTGGCATAACGTTAAGAGTTAAGATCATCATTTGTTTTAGCAGATCAGCTTTTGATTTCCTCCTGGCTTTTGCTAATACGAAAGAACTCCATTTATCCAGTAATGCATTTAGAACGGTTTCTTGAAATCCATTCACAGCCAGGACAGCGTACACAGTGGAAATCGTATTCCTGAGGGTTAATATAAACCTAATCAAGGTTGCCTAAACTAGAAATTAAACAAAGCTTTTGAAATATTTCTTGTTTCATTTCACACCTGAGACTAATACGTTCTAATTTACATCTTTTGTATTGAAGAGGCACATGTGAAATAACTGTTGAAGCATACCAAGAATTTTCATCATACAATTTGCAATTAATAGTATTGTGCAATTGAGGCTTTTCAGAACTGCAGATGAAATGCATTTGCATATTGTATCCCAAGTGTGCTTAATTCATACTTTCATTTACAAAGAGTTCATTTTTGTTCACCTTAGTGCTATCCATTTTTAATGTATTCAGAATGGAACAAAGGTCCGCATTTAAATTTATTTTCATGCCAAGTACATCCCCTCTTAAATTTCAAGCTACCTAAAAAAAAACCCCAAAAACCTAGAGTATCATAATAAGAAATTGAATAACCTCTCTTTTATTTATTCATTTCATTACAAACTCAAGAGCTGGCTGACAATATAAATAACACAAACATCAGGTATTACATGCAGATGCCACTTTTACAACCTATCAGCATGTGTAAAACAAAGCAGATGAGCCACAAAATAAAAAAATCTCCTAGATGCAATAAATGCTTTTTTTGAACCTACTTATTCCTAAGAAAACATGCTATGTATATAAATCTGTTGGATTTAATTGCAGTTTGTATAAAATTTAAAAAAAAAGAGATAATTTTCTTTTAAAGTATTATTTTCTAAAATTACTCCCTTAAATCTGTTCTGGAATAAAATTAAATACTCTTCTATACCATGTAGGCACTGATTTCTTGAAGAAATTGAATATTCAAATCAGAAGAAGAACATTTTTATAATAAACTCCATCCCCCCAAACTCAAATAAGTTTTGCATTTGAAATTATATATACTTATATAAAATCGTTGTAGTAAGTTTCATACATGTAGCTGCACACAAGCTAAAAGTAAATAGGAGTCTTCAAACTCTGTAAAAATCTGCTGAATTACAGAACTTCAAGTTTCAGCTGACATTATTGCAAACTCTTCATAAGAAAGAGGCTGCTAAATTGCCATAAATAATTCGTGTCCTTTTTATGACACATAAGCAACAGTGCTCCACGTTCCTATTGCTTTCTTTTTCTCCAAGAGCCTTTTTAAAATGATCTTGAGTACTAATTTGTTAATACTTAACATTCTTCTAAAATGACCCTCAACACAATACAAAGGCAATGCACAAGTATAGTTTATTCAACAAATGGGCCCTTTGTAAAAAACACATCACTATAAATAAAGCCATGTCTCCCTAAGTGGAAGCTTTTCACTTTTTTTTTTTTTTTTAAACAAATCCTGCTTTCCTTTAAAGAGGAAAGACCTTATTCTACATCCTCGGGCTTTTGAGTCCATGCCAACCAAAGCTCTAAAAATACAGTAAATCAAGAGTTTGATAAGAATGGATGCTTTTCCTCCCTCCTCCTTTCCCAGCATTTATCTACAATAAGTGTTAGAAAAAGAAATCAAATAGTTCCATATTTTATTTCATCTTTCAGGAGAAAAAACAGCTGCAACAAAAGAATGTGTTTCTCCCCCATTCTGGAAGTCAACATGCAGTCTGAATCTAATATTACAGTTCAAGATGCCATTGATGACATCGACACCAACATGTACCGACCACTGTCATATCCATTAAGCTTTCAAGTTTCTCTCACTGGATTTTTGATGTTAGAAATTGTTTTGGGACTTGGCAGCAACCTCACCGTGCTGGTACTTTACTGTATGAAATCCAACTTAATCAATTCTGTCAGTAACATAATTACAATGAACCTTCATGTACTTGATGTAATAATTTGTGTGGGATGTATTCCTCTAACTATAGTTATCCTTCTGCTTTCACTGGAGAGTAACACTGCTCTCATCTGCTGCTTCCACGAGGCTTGTGTCTCCTTTGCAAGCGTTTCAACTGCAATCAACGTCTTTGCTATCACTCTGGACCGATACGACATCTCTGTAAAACCTGCCAATCGAATTCTGACCATGGGAAGGGCTGTGATATTAATGACATCAATATGGATCATTTCACTTTTTTCCTTCCTGATTCCTTTCATTGAAGTCAACTTTTTCAGTCTTCGAAGCGCAAGTACTTGGGAAAATAAGACACTTTTGTGCGTAAGTACAAACGAGTACCACACTGAGCTAGGAATGTACTACCACCTTCTCGTTCAGATTCCAATCTTTTTCTTCACTGTTATAGTAATGCTAATTACATACACCAAAATACTCCAGGCTCTAAATATTCGGATTGGTACAAGATTTACAACGGGACAAAAGAAGAAAGCTAGAAAGAAAAAAACTATTTCTTTGACTACTCAGCACGAGACTACAGATGTGTCCCACAGCAGTGGAGGAAGAAACGTCGTCTTTGGCGTAAGGACTTCTGTGTCTGTCATAATTGCTCTGCGCCGAGCTGTAAAACGGCACCGGGAGCGACGAGAACGTCAAAAGAGAGTCTTCAGAATGTCCCTCTTGATTATCTCAACATTCCTCCTCTGCTGGACACCCATCTCTGTTTTAAACACCACCATCTTATGTTTGGGCCCAAGTGACCTTTTGGTAAAGTTGCGATTATGTTTTCTAGTAATGGCATATGGAACAACTATATTTCACCCTCTACTTTATGCATTCACGAGGCAAAAGTTTCAGAAAGTTCTGAAAAGTAAGATGAAAAAGCGAGTTGTTTCAATAGTGGAAGCAGATCCCATGCCAAACAACGCTGTAATACACAACTCATGGATAGAGCCTAAAAGGAACAAAAAGATTACCTTTGAAGACAACGAAGTAAGGCAGAAATGTTTAGTACCTCAGGTTGTCACTGACTAGGTTTCAGTATTCACCAAAACACATCAAGTGGAATATTTCAACAAATTGTAGAAAAATACTGCCAAATAAGAAAAACTTTTTTTAACTACTGGCGAGACTGTAAATTTTCAATATATATGTTAAATAGAGTAAGTCTTGTATATTCAATTTCTTCATTATGTAAGATATATGTTGCATGGCCGTTTGTTAGCGTAACACCATGTGTATATTTGTCAAAAATATTCAAGTCCTCTTTTTTAGAAAATAAATAGCCTTAAAGAAGTGCAAACTTTTAAAAATATTTGTATGGCTCAGTTTCTCTGTAAATATAAAAGAATTTTTTAAAAAAAATTCCACTCAGGAATACTTTTCTAAAGCACAAATTCAACATTTCGTATGATATGGTATTTTAAAATTTAATTCATAAACAATATTGATCAGAGATATTCTGAATGCTATACAGCTACAACTTGGACACAACCTTTGACCTCCTATTTAGATAGCTACTTATTTCAAATTTCTCCAGCATGCAATTACCATGCATGTGTAGATAAAGCCATTTACATGATGTCCTTCAGAATCAGTTAATTTTGATTGGGGGGTGGGGGGGAATCATGTTGGTCCAAAAATTGACAGTACTTTTAGAAAAGTAAAGAGTCTTGTGTATACAAATCTCAGACCTACAGTTTCTACAAAGAAAATACACAATTTTAAATAACTACACAGGAGGAGTGGAAAGGATAAAGGGGGAAAGACAGGCTAAATGAAGGCAAAAAACACAGACAAGAAAGTTATTGGGCTTGATACTAAAAGACAACCAATGAGCCAAGCCATTCCTGTGCAAAGGCTTAGATTTTCACACTGAAGGGATTTAGCTATACCTCTAGTGTGACATAGGGACCTCTTACACAGAGATTCCGCATTCATACCATCTATCTACATAGACAGATATAGCTGTCAAGTGCCACAGCTAAAGTAGAAGATAATTTTCTTGTCCTCAATAACTTTTGTATTATTTTGACTTCACTTCTCCTTCAACGATGTTCAGTTCTGAACTGATTGCTTTGTCACAAGCTGTCACCAATACTGCTAGCCATCCTATTTCTGCATTTTCTGGACAGCCATAGTACACTTCATTCTACATCCTCTTTTTCTATTTCATCTTATACCTGCAATGGAGAATCAAGAAGCCTCAGGAAGTCATCATTATCCATAGCACTGTAAGGAAGAATTAAGATATTCATACAAACAAAAGTCTGTTGAGTGGTTTGCACTATCCCATGCTTTAAAAAAAAATCATAATTTCAGTGAACAGTGGCTATTAATTACCAGTTATGGGGGGAGGGGGAAACAAAACAAAAAACTGCAAAACCAATGAGCATGATTTCACTTGTCTTTTTATATAAACTGCTTGGTGTGTCACCAGCTACCAGTATAATTAAATGGCTAATTCTCAAAAAGTATTGGTTTCTATAAAAAAAAGCAGAACATATCCTTGAATATGAGAGCTAGTTTGACTAAAGTATTACATAAAAAATGAGGATTTCTGAAGCACTTTTCTGAAGTTGCATATAAAAAACCAAAAGTGTGGTTTTAAGAGAGCAAAAAGCTATTTTCCATTACATCATTAAATTAATAATTATACTTGTATTGCCAAAACTGTTTTTGTGGTTAAAAAAAAAAAACAGTACTTGTAATGTACCTTAGTTTACTTAGGCTCTTGCCTTAGCTTACCAGAACAGAGCTCCATATTCCACAAAGACCAGCCCCTTACAATCATTCAAATTCTACCTAGAAGCTTTATTATCTAACTGATAATAATTCATTATCTAAAATTACTGTGTAACATACAAACATAATTTCACTGGCTTTTTTCTAAAGGCTAACCAAATGACACCTGCATTCAACTGTGCCCACTTACAGTGTTGATTTTATCCAAGCTATCCCTAGTTTCCTACAAGAATTGAAATCCTTCATCTTATTTTAGAGGTTATAGGGGGGAAGTAAACTTAATGGTTTTATGCAAGAAGCTTTTTTTTTTTTTTTTTAAATCCCATATGCTCCAAATTTATCACTTCAAAAAAACATTCTGTCAGGAATAAACTCTTCTGAAAAGAAATGTGCTCAAAAAAACCTAAGCAGGAAGTATCGTTTTTTTCTTTTTTGTAACACTTCTTCCTTTCTCTGCCTAGTTATCCTCTGTATTCTGAACACTAGAAGAAGGAGAAAGTGGGATCTCTAAGGTTAATGGTATAGTATGATTTAACTGATTACTTATCTTCCAATAAAGCATTCTTAAATCAATTAAAAAACACTATTAATTTTATTTAGAAAGACAAAAAAAAAGAAATCATGACCATAACATATGAATAAGCTTACATCATGTCCTTATCTGAAATAAGTATTTAAGAAAAGCTTTCAGTCTTGAAAGGTTTCTTGACAGCATGACTTTACTTTTTAAAATTAAATAAATAGCAAGAACTACACGTTTAGTGTTAAAAACTCATTCATTAGAAAGTCAGATTCAATGAAGCAGTACTTAATAACAAAGAGAAAATGCAGCCTAGGAATTAGTCAGAGAGATTAAGTCAGGTTTTAAAGCCTATGTCGATCACAGTCATTGATTGCCTTTAAGAATATAAACAAGTTCATTTTTACATTTACTGTTCTTCGTCTTTCATTAAATAAAAAAAAAAAAAAAAAAAAAAAGGACTTATACCACGTTGGAATATACTTTGAAGTCTGCAGAAGAAAGTTCTGCATAGAGCAGGGAAGAATACAAGTAAGAATATGTGCAATCCTATATACATGCAGAAGTCATTGTAAAACAGAATCATGCATAACTTGTACCACGAAGATGACAGATTTAAACACAAACAAGACAAAATAAAGAGTAACTAGTGAAGAACACTGTATATCCTACAGATACAGAAGAAGATTTTAAAGGGATATGAAGGTGTGCCGTGGGTGCTTGACAAGACAGACTAAAACAGAACACAAAAATAGACAGCTTCACCGGAGAAAAAAGGGCAAATATATGCCATAGTATTGTACAATAAGAAGCCCACTACATTCTTAGAAATGATCTCACCACAGTGAGTCATTAGTTCAATTACATTTCACACCACTCAGCCTAAGGCAAGCAGAATTGTACGGGACTCTCAAAATACTAATTCCAGCAAATACATCACAGAAACACAAGCAACCACCACAGGTTTCCACACATTCTCTGTCCCCAAACTCTTAGCCGGTATCAGACTATGTTGTCGTCTAACTTCAAATGCATTTCCATTCAATTTTACGTTGTAAAACGAGGCTAGCTCACACTAAAAATACAAAAAAGCAGAGTACAGTGCCAGCATCTATCAGAATACTCAAGAAGCACACCTTAACACACTAATACAAACAAGTGAAACAGATGTGTAAATACATCACAAATATCTAGTTTCAAGTTGGCAACAATTTTTACGGATTACAAGGCACTGCTGCATGGTCAGAAGTTCTGTTTGCTTAATTAGTGCCAGGGGAATAGGAATCACTTCAGTGATTTCTAAATAGATTAAAAACATATGCATCCGGATACATATTAGATCGATACACCTCTCTTCCTTCATTGTTACGTGAATGCACACATGTACATAATACATAATTATTACACATCCATACACACCAAAAGTGCAATTCAATATTAGCATCTTTTTTATATTTTATGGAGGGGGGTTTTGATAAGAGTATCCCTGAACTGGACAACATACCTAAATGCTTTCTCTTCCCTGCTACCACCTTTTACTTTTTTTTCTCTATCCTTTTTACACAAAATAATACATTCAACGAGCGATATAACGAGCGATTTACCTGGGCAGCTTTTCTGCTCTGTTAACTGTTATGTATATCATATTGCAATGCACATAATAGTTCTTTTTCAACATCAATGTATGTGCTATTCATCAGAATTCTTTGACAGCTGAATATTTTAGACATATGGTTGTTTCCTCTGAAGAAAGTGTTTTAGTTACCAATTGCCATTAAACTCTTTTGAAAGGAGAGAACACAACATTCTTTAGCAAAGTTTCAATGTAGTATTAAAAAATATAGATTACTCTAACTTACCCTTCCCTCCCTCATTGTTCAAACAAAATACCTCCAACGTATAGCTAAGGACAATCAGCTTCTGTCTTAAAACCTTCCAGCTTTATAACAGCCAAATTCCACTCCCACTTCACACATTCTACTGTAATATCACTGAATTTATTTGTCTTACGTCAACAGAAGAATCTGACTCTGTAATTACCTTCTCTTCTTTCTACTTCACAGAACACTCGTACAATTCAAGAAGCAAAATTAAACACAGGGTTTGGGTTTTGTTTTGCTAGGGGGTTCTGAAAAAAGAAAAAAAAATTAAAAAAGAAAGAAAAAGAAAAAAGAAAAAAACCCCAGACATAATAACTGACTAATACGAAAAGCAAAATTGACTTACATCCAATGAGTGTTAAAGAAGAAGGATAGAGAATACAGGTCGAGAGGAAAAGGGCAGAAGGTGAAAGCAACCGTTGTGAGGCAGCTGCGGCCATCAGGACCACAGAAAGGTGGAGGGCAACACACACTTGCCATGGAACGAATGATAACCTTATTTTTTAGATTATAATAAACAAAAACACAAGAATAACTTATCTTTGAATCATCGAGTGCAATATGTGGTTTTACTAAAATTGCTGGGAGGAGAGGGGAGAATGACACGAACAGCAACTCAAGAAAAGGCTTTTGATTTAACAAATTGTACACAGAATAATAGACAAATCAAGAGCGTGCATTATTCTACTACCTCTTTTCCTAAATTATACATTTTTCCGAGTACAAAGTACATACAGAGAACATGCATTCCAAGAACAGCTCGGAAAAGAAAATGTTATTAGATGTCTGTTTTCAGTGATAAATTTTAAAAAATGCTATTGAATTTTCTCTCAAATCAGTATTGGTCAGATAACTTCAGTTTCTCTTGATGCTTCAAATGTGTTTCACTACCATGGTATGTTTTCAATTACTGCTTCTTTATCTCAATTTAATTATATTTGTAGAGTAATAGATTGAAGGAAAAATATCATTAGACATCTTTATGTTCTTTCCTAAAATTACACTTCAGTGATTATTATAAACTGAGCTGGAATGGAAGAAATATCTTCCTGTGTATTTACTTTATAGATCTCTGTATCAGCTGTTTTCCTGTTTTACAAAGAAATTCTCACACAATGAAAAGAAATTCAGTTAAAATGAAAAACCAGGATTTACAGT